TCTATGGAGATATACCATACATGCAAACCTTTCTCAGAATTGTTTAAAAATGTGGGGCACCTGGGTGGCTCAGTTGGTTAGGCGACTGCCTTCGGCTCAGGTCATGATCCTGGAGTCCCGGGATCGAGTCCCACATCGGGCTCCCTGCTCAGCGGGGAGTCAGCTTCTCCCTCTGACCCTCTTCCCTCTCGTGCTCTCTATCTCTCATTCTCTCTCTCTCTCTCAAATAAATAAATAAAATTAAAAAAAAATAACAAATAAAAAAGAAAAAGAAAACTATAAAAAAAAAGAATTGTTTAAAATGTATTTTCCTGAGAGAAATAACATTCACAAGGCAAGGACCCAAAAGAGAATCATTTTGGGGTTTTTTGTTTGTTTGTTTGTTTTAATTTTTATTGTTATGCTAATCACCATACATTACATCATTAGTTAAGAGAATCATTTTGTAGTGAAATAACCCGCCAGCATGGGAAATCCAAGCGTTCCTCCCTGGGTCATCACACAATGACCCCCAGTGGCCTCGCCCACCACCCAAGGTCCCCTGTCGCAGGGGACCACACTCAAGCTGCTGAGCTACACAAATAAAGGGCTATCTTCATTTTAATCCAATTACATATGTAATAACCCCAACTGACCAAGCCAGAGCCCCTGGATGATTGACTGGCCCGCTTGCTCACTCTGTTTTCCCAGTATCAAGCAATTAGAACTCTGGGGCTCCTCATCTGCCATTTTAAATTAGAAAAGGAAAAAACACACTTCTTTGAGGAGTTAGTCACTATATGAGAAGTTGATCCTCTTTTTCTTTTGTTTAAAGGAATAGGTCAAAAATAATAATGCAAAATTCCCTTAATCAGTATAATGAAAATTATGTTTGCTTTCAAATTCCTTCTTTATGTGTGCGGTCAGAGAAATTAGTAATCTACTGAGGAATACACCCCAGAAGAACAGCAGGGAAACCATATAGACCTTGCCCTGTCTTTTTTCTCCCTTTTTTTTCCTCCTGGCCTTGCCGGATTTACAGCTATCTATTCTCTCATCTTTCAGGTTTTGCTTCCACCTGGGAGAGAGCAAAATTCCTTGAAATCTTAAAAATACTAGTTTCTACTTTGCTCACAACATCCGAATAGCTTGGTGCTTTAACTGTGCTTCCCTAGTTTGCTAGGCACTGACCTTGTGGCTACTGCCATCACCACCTGTGGGGCAATGGCATCTAGACATTTGTGTTTTAAAATACTTAAGAACTGATCACATTTCATGGCCATGATGTGGTCTGGTTTTTTGTTTTTTGGTTTTTGGTTTTTTTTGGATATTTCCAATTTCAAACTCCTAGTACATGGCTTTGTGGTAGTCTTACTTTCAGAGTTATAAACTATGCAACTATTTACATGCAAAGTTTGACTTTATAAAATGAAGGTAGTATGTGCTTGTCGGTAACAAAGTAAAATTTGGGACCCTTGCTAAAATAATTCATTAAATTTCTCTACCAAGTTCATCTGGTTGATTATTAAATAAAAACTCCATTTCTTTAGTTCATAGGAGAGTTAAAAGCTGCAGCTGCCCCCACGCCCAATGCAGTGCAGAACATGCTATTCTTCCTTTTACTGATAGAAAAAAATATTCAAAATTGCCAGAGTTCCTTCCCTCTCATACTCAATTTGGCTGTATTTTTCAAAAAAAAGAACAGTTTCAGAAAATCAATTTAAACACAATAAGACTATTTTTACATAAGTTGTTCTATTAACCGTAAAAGCTTCTCCACAAACTGAGTTGTTCACTTGATTTGTTTTTGTTTATTTTGTTCACTTTGGGGGAGGGTCCTATTTACTTAATGCTGTTAAGGGCATTTGTTTATATTTATCTAGGCTTCGGTTATGAATACTACAGGTTTTTAGATTCATAACGGGGGTTCAGCTTTTATGTTAGCATTACTCCATTTTAAAAGAAAGGATTTTCGGGCGCCTGGGTGGCTCAGTCGTTAGGCGTCTGCCTTCGGCTCGGGTCATGATCCCGGAGTCCTGGGATCGAGTCCCACATCCGGCTCCCTGCTCAGCAGGAAGCCTGCTTCTCCCTCTGACCCTCCCCCTGCTTGTGTTCTCTCGCTGCTCTCGCTGTCTCTCTCTCTGTCTTTAAAAATTTATTTAAATTTTTTAAATTTTATTTTATTTTAAAAAATAAAATCTTTATTTAAAAATAAAATCTTTAAAAAAAATAAAAGAAGGGATTTTCTGGAGTAGCTGAGAGTTCTCTGCTCTCAGTCTGGATGGGCTCAGATACCAGTCCTAAAGCAAACGCCTTATCTTTTGAGAACAGAACCAAAGGAAACCTGAAGTGGCTCCTTTGAAAACTCACGCTTGCAACATGGCTTTCGAACTTGGAAAGTCTGCAGTTTCACCGTGCACCAGCTGCTCGGCCTACTACAGCCAGGTCAATCTCCTGCTTTCCATCCCGCCTCAACTGTGCTAGCCTCTGGCTTTCCTACTCCCTCACCTTCCTCGCAAATCTGTTTCTCGGGCTTAGGCTGATGCTGGGAACTTTCTAGAAGTTTCCAAAGAAGAGTGAAAGGGTGCTTCCTGCAGTGCCACCTGCGATGCCGTCCCTATGGAGGCCTCAGAACGCCGGCTTTCCCACCCGTCCACCCCACGGTCCTCCCAACCAAGCCACCCTCCTGAGGTGCTCCGGAAGACGTTTCTCTGAACCCCCGGCGGTGGCAAATGGCAGCGTGCCACCCAAGGTCTGTTACCTCCCGGGAGCCCTCACTTGCCTGTGCTTACCCTCTGCCCTCTGGGACGCCTCCACTGCGAGCCGGGCGCCCGGGGTCCACGGGAGGCGAGGAGCGGGCCGGGGCGGGCTGAGGGTCTGCAAGCTCCTCCTTGGCCTCCGGCCTCGCTGAGAGCCCCGAGAGTCCGTGAGTGAAGCGCCGCCTCCGATTCCTCAGAGAGTGAAACCCCCAAGCCAGCGGTGCTCCCAGGGTACCCAGCGGGGGGCAAGGGCTATCTCCGCCTTGACTTGAGCTGTTGGGGTCACAGAGACCGCCTCCGGAACTGGGGTGCGGGACGCCCCTTCCGCGCAGCTCCTGACTTCCGATCCCCCTAAGGTTCCGCTCCAGCGCAGAGCACTGCACAGCGGCACCTGCTGAGGGCTGTGGAGCCGGAAGATGGGGGTATTTTGGGTCCAATCGGGGCTCCGTAGTGGAGCTAAAGAGGCTCTGATCTCCTCCTAATCAGCAAGGTCCTTGCAGCCTGAGGGGAACCAAAATTTCATCCGTGGTTGAGTAGCAAGCCGAGTAGCAAGCCGAGTATCAAGCTGAGTATCAAGTCCTGCCGGGCCAGTGCCGCTCTTTGGGGGCAGCCTCAGTGGTGCCCTGAGCCCCAGAGGACAAAGGGAGGGCAACTGTAGGCTGTTCCCCTTGACTTGTCATCTCATTAAGCATGACGATCCCAACCACGAGACAGCTTTCCTTCACCTTCTCAGTTTGCCCTCCTCACCAGTCTTTTCCTGCGGAGACATCCAGCAGAGCTTTGCAGGGTTGCCCTGCACTACACGATTGGACTTCTCAGGTCTGTTTCTAAAGACTCAGAGAAGACAATTCCACCACTTCCCTCAGCCACTCACTCCAGAACTGAGTAATCCTCACTGACGAACAGATTTAACACGACATGTTGTTTTCTCAAGCTGGCCAATTTTGTTAAAAAGACAAGGTAGAAAGACCTCCAATGAGTTGAAAGATTGAAAACCACCTTTAATTCTGACCCAGCATACAGTATGGGATGAACAAAGTAAATATTACTTTAACAATATCATTAATATTAAACTTTATTCATAATAGTGACAACATTTGTCCCTCAAACAAGGACATGCCACAGAAAGGGCTCCAGAACTTTCTATCTACAACACAATCTTTCTGATTTCAAAACTGGACCATTCAATCATTGCACAAAATATATGTATATGTAGGATGTAAAAATATATCAAAACACCATGTTGTACACCTCAAATATATATTTTTTAATTTGTCAATCATATCTCAATAAAGCCGGGGAGTGCATCACCATGGGGTGGGGGGGGGGGGCTTTGGATATATTCTTTTCCCCATTCTAAAAATTAAACTTAAAATCCTGGTACCCCTGAAACTAACATAACATTGCATGTCAACTATGCTTCCCTTAAAAACAAGTTAAAATCCTAAACTCCTTGTGGAGTTTAGAAAGAAGCTCCTAAACTCAGTTTCAGGAGGGACTCATTTTAAAACAGTATGACTCTTCCCAGTGCATTTTAAGTACACCATTCGGATTTGTAGCCGTAGTACAGCCTTCAGGCACCACAAATTCTAAGTTTCAAAGCTTCAGCATGGCATGACATCCGAAATAACCAGGAAATGATAGAGCAAGAAGCTGTTCAGTGAGGCAGGCATTTACATAACACTTCCCTAAATCCCGAAGCAGAGTGTTGCGTAAAGGGCAGAAAAGCCAGGTGCCATTGCCCCCAACTCTCAAGTTCTTCTCATCCTAAAACAAACCAATTCTTTCAGTGCCAGATTACATGCAACGAGGGAAGGATAACGTGTAGGTATGTAATGCTTGTCATTTGTAGAGCATATCATCAGCATTAATTACCTTTAATTATACAATTACTACTGAGTTGTCAAAGACAACATTCAAAAGAGAGGGATTACTAAAAGCATTAATCCTAAAATGACTGACCAACCTTCCTCAGAAACAAACCATGACTCGCCCCCAAAAGCAGAGAGATTAGCAGCAGCAGACCAGGAAGAGCTTGGGCTTAAGTATAAATCTTGGCCAGTCTTGGAGAATGTCATTAACTTCTCTGAAGCCACAGTGTCCTCTCACCAATGGACCCAATAATAAATGGTACCTGCCTCATAGAGTAGGGAGGATTCGATGGGATGATTCATGCAAAATGCCTGGCACAGAGCCCAGCAAGAAGGAGGCCCTGGTCAGTGGGGATGTAATTACCATCAGGAAGGACAATAAAATACTCACCAAAGGCAGGCAGGGCTTCCAGATGTCCATCCCCTCTGAACACAGCATGCAAGATTTGGGGGACTTCCACTTGAGATTCTTCTGATCTTGCTTGGAGGTACCACTTTGCCTCTGGTCTTTCTCACAGGGGACCTGCCAATAGCAGAGACTAGGCATTCCTCTGCAAAGAAAGAACAGCCACGAGTAGCCTCTATGGCAAGCCCCAAAATTCCACGGAAATCTCCAAAGGAATTCCCTGGAAGACAAAAAATAAAACAAAAAAACAAGTGATGTAACATTTTATCTCCGTGTGGGCATCAAACTGCCGGTTGTTTGCTTCATCCCCAAAGGAAATAAGTATCCCATTTTTATATCTCTTGAGGGAAAAGACAACACACTTGCACAATATCAACTTCAAGTCACTCCTGGCTTATAAGAGCACTCACACCTTTGTTCATCTCCAGTTCAGTCAGATGCCATTTTGTGAAAATGTAGTAATATTTCTAGTACATCGGGAATACATGGATCAATGTGCGAGTTGAGTTTCTGTTAAAAGTCCCCCATTTTTCCTGGTATGATACTAATATATAGTGGTGTACTTTAGTGAAGTATGACCTATTTTACTTATGGGAAAATTCAATGATAAATACATGAAAGGAATTTAAGGAGTGCTATTTCATTCCGTCTTGAATTAAAAAAAAAAAGAAGCAATCAGTGATTTCTGCAAGGACCCGCCCTTTTAGTCCACAGCCCCTTCAGCCCCGGCCTGCACCCCTGACTGGAGCCCCTCCTGCTCTCACTCTTGTCCCCTCCAAACTGGTCTCCACCCAGCAGCCACCGTGCCTTTCAAAAAGTTCGTGTCACATCACTCCCCTGGTGGGAATACTATCTGTGCCACAAGGACTTCGGGCTGTTGAGGAAAACCCCACCCCATTCTCACAGCCTCTAATACCCTCCCAATCATAATGGGTGCTCTTCTCTTCTCACTGCACAGCAGTTAGAACTTCGCCAGAGCGTTCACTAAATATTTTAATGTGACAAACTACGGAAGAGACATGTTCTGGCTTTGAAACCAGAAAGAAAGATAATTTTTTTTTTCTGGGAGATCATTAACTAAAAAGAAAGACCAATTGTTAAAATATGTTCCCAGAGGGCCTAAATGCCCATGTGTTCTTCCTGTACTCTCAACTTAGCAAGAGTAAGTTTGGAACATTCAAATTACCTATGCTCTCCAACCTACAGACTGAGGGTGAACCGCTAAGGATCTCTTACAAGGATGGGAGTGGGGTGGAAGTATGGAACTTCCTGGGGGTTCTGCCTTAGTGATGCTGGCATAGCCAAGTGAGTCCTTACTGACGGTTTGGCCCAAGCCCCTCATTTTCCAACTAAGGACACGGAAGCCCACTGAATCCTTTGGGAAGGATTGTCCAGAATCTGAGAGCCCAGATGAGAAGGACTGGCTGCTCCCACTATATCATGCCCTCATGTATTTTGCATCCACAAAAAGTCCCTATGTCTGGTGGCAAGGATGTCTTTTTACTTCTTAGTATAGGGAGGGTATTTTTCATATGGGAGATTTGTTTCCTGCTTTCAGGGGGACAGAGGAGGGGCTGAGTGTCTTTGCACCAGTTGCTTCCCATGTAGCTTCAATTCAAAATAATCAGTACCCCACTGTGGTACATTTTGGGCAGCCTTCCCTTGGCCCCCACAGCACAGGACTTTAGGATGCTTTTATAGGAGAAAACATCTTCACTTAAGACTGTGAGCAAGGCATGTTTTTGTTCTCTGGCCATTCTTTTCAGCATTTGTATAAATATTTGTAGCTTCAGTTGCTATGGAAAGCAAACACTACTTAACCATGACAACCATAACAGCTTAAGGTACGCAGCTTGATTCAGACTGTGAAGCTTTAAACACACTGAAGTGTGTAGGGCTTTAATAACCCTCCTTTTAAAAAAAATCAACCAAATGTTCTTCTCCCCAGAAAAGCCACCTGAGTATTCTCCACTTTCTCTGTGTTATCTGTCATGAAAAGCCAGCATACCTCAAGGAATACTTAAGGGCTGAAATCAAAGGAAATTTTAGTAAAAATTGATCTAAAAAAAAAAAAGGTTGGTAAGAATCAAAGAAAAAATAAATGAAGATCTACTGATCTACTGTGTACCTATTCTGTGCCAGAAGTGTGTAGATTCTTTTACATACATTTCATCTGATTGTGATTGTACCTCATTTTACAGAAGAGAGAAACAGACCCAGGAAAACGAAATAACTAGTCCAGGGAGACAGAACTGGGATTCAAACTCAGAGTGGGCTGGCTCCACCCAGCCCACCATACATTGTTTATTCAAACAGTCTAGTCACCCGATTATTTTAATCAGTCCAAAACCGAGAGTTCAGATGAATTTTTGTCAAAAAACTTTAGAAAACAAATAGTTCTTGTTTTAAAAAAAATCAATCCACTCCTCCAATCACTGGCCTTCTTGTCACCCAGTATACCCAGTATACCCAATAGTTCCCTTCAGCTGGCTCCAGCTGCCCTGGCTCAGATCCGAAATTATGAGGATGGGCAGTGGGTTGGGAATTCTGGCTGCAACCCACTAGGATGGCTATCAAAATGACAGATGATAAGAAGGAGTGTTGAAGATGTGAACAAATGGGAACCTGCACACCCTGCTGGTGAGAATGCAAAGTAGTACAATTATAACCCAAATGTCAATCAGTTGATGACTGGATAAACAAAATAGGGTCTATCCATACAGTGGAATATTATTCAGCCATAAAAATGGTAATTCTATGTTTAACTGACTGATGATACAATATGGGTGAAGCTTGAAAACATTACGCTAAGTGAAATAAGCTGGTCACAAAAAGACATACATACTGTATGATTTCACCTATATGAGTACCTAGAGTTGTCAGATTCATAGAGACAAAATGTAGAATAGAATAGTGGGCTGGTTACCAGGAGTTCGAGGAAAGAGGAAATGGAAAGTTGTCTTTTATGGGGACAGAGTTTCAGTTTTGCAAGATGAAAAGAGTTCTGGAGATTGGCTGCACAACAATGTGAATATACTTAATACTATTCAACTGTATTCTTTAAAATGGTTTTAAGATAGGGTCCCTGGGTGGCTCAGTTGGTTAAGGGTCTGCCTTCGGCTCAGATCACGATCCTGGAGTCCCAGGATTGAGTCCCACGTCGGGCTCCCTGCTCAGCGGGGAGTCTGCTCCTGGCCCTCCCCCCACTCCTTCTCTCTCTCTCTCTCTGCCCTTAAGATTTTATTTATTTATTTGACAGAGAGAGACACAGTGAGAGAGGGAACACAAGCAGGGGGCGTGGGAGAGGGAGAAGCAAGACTCCCGCCGAGCAGGGAGCCCAACGCGGGACTCGATCCCAGGACCCTGGGACCAGGACCTGAGCCGAAGGCAGACGCTTAATGACTGAGCCACCCAGGCGCCCCATAAAATCTTAAAAAAATAAAAAACAAAATTGTTAAGCTAGAAAGTTGTATGTTACATGTGTTTAACCATAATAAAAAAGATGCCATTTATAACGAAATGTCCAGAATGAGCAAATCCATAGAGGCAGAAAGCAGATTAGTGGTTCTGGGAGCTGAGGGGAGGAAGAATGGGGGCAGTCCCTACCAAAGGGGACAGGGTTTCTTTTGGGGGTGATGAAATGTTCTGGAATTACATAAAGGTGATGTTCATACAATCTTGTGAATACACTGTAAAACCACTGAATTATATTCCTCTAAAGGGTAAAATTTAGGATATGTAAATTATATATCAATTAAAAATTAGAAGTGAGAAAATGAGACTCTAGGAGTGAGAACTGGTATGTATGACAGAAATAAAAGGGAGAGGAAGGAGAGGAAATTGATAATTATGAGAAACCATACAAAGGCAACGCACCGACCTGCTTGGCCCCAAACAGCTTGTTGTAGCTTGGTTGCAGACAATCATGTGCCACAGTTAGCTCAAAGCAAGTATGGGCTTCATGGCTGGAGATCAAATATTTGAGCAAAATATGTATACAGCTTTATGATTATTTTAAACATGACACAAAATTACTATAAAACTCAGTTGATAACTAGTCATAATGCCTAACTAGTCATGGCTAACTGGAGGATACAAAGAAATAATTATAATATGAACAAGTGCTGATACTCTATTTGCGTACAACCTGAAGGTAATTATATATTCCCATTGTATGTCTTTTGAGTAAGTCCTACCTCATTCTCACTACTGATGTTGGATAATAGAAATCTCCGTGGACAGCTACCAGGATACTAGGGTAAATTAACAATAAGCATCATTTAATTAAGCTGAGAAAATCTGCTGCCTACTGGATTTGTTACAAGTGCATCAAAGCTCTTGATTTATAGCAATTTATGGCACGAGTTCCTGGCTGTCCCATGGGGCAAGGAATTGCCACAAACTCTTTAGAATGAAGAAAATTGAGAATTGGAAACTGAGCTAAGCCTTCAACTTGCAAGGAGCCCTTGGCACAAAAGTGTTGCCTATACCAAATCCAGCAGGTGAGCCCCTGCTCAGATTTGTCTTGCAAGCTTGGCTTTGTTTTGTTCTGTTTTGAGGAGTTATTACTTTCCGAGCATTGAGGAAAATAACCAAGGTGAATGCACACAGAGTCAAGCTCAAGTCATGCTAGAGATAGTATTAAATTTAAGCAGACTATGGAACAAAATAGAGTTCAGAGAGAGACCCAGATATATATGGGATCATAGGATATGATAAAAGTGTTACCACAGATTACAGGAAAGGATAGATTATTTGGTGGATGGTGTTAGGAGAATTGTCTTATAATGGGAGGAAAAATCAAACTAGGTTCCCATCTAACAATCTGTATGAAGGTGGATTCCTAATGTTTTCAAGAATAATTATGAAAGGAAAAAATAACATTGAAAAGGAAATTACAAAAATATTTTTTCATCTTGGAGTAAGGAAGAATTCCTTAAATAAGAAAATCTTTGTTTTTCTCTAAACCCAAAGATGTGAGGTGAAAATTAATAAATTTAATTACATTCCAATTAAAGATTTCTGTTTAGTGAAGGACATCATGGATAAAATTAAAGACAGATGGTAAGATGGGAGAAAAAAATTGCAATATCTAATGCCAACAAAAACTAATATTTCAAAAGCATCACCAAAAAGATAGGAAGCCTAATAGGAAAATGGGGAAAGAATAAAGGAACAAAACATTTATGAAAGAGGAAACCCAAAAAGCAAGTATATAAA